GTCTTTGTCTAGCAGTTTGAAGATCAATGGGGCAGACGATTCCAATTTGGACCAGACAGTTCGAAGACGGCAGCGTTCAGCAAGCCCCGCAATTCCAGTGCAAAAGAAAAGATTGTTGAAATCATCACTTACTGGCGAGCGGCGTTCTGCATCACCCAAACCACAAGGTACAAATATACTTCAAGCGGTAACTGTCTTTTTTAATTTTCTTTATGTACACTAATACTGCTCCTCCTTGTCTGATATCCCCGTTTCTTATGAATTCTCACAAAAAAGGTGACATTAAACAGCTGACAGGAGCTAACTTATCGGGGCCTTATGCGCTTCGCCACTCCAAGTCCCGAGGCTTAGGTTACCGGTTTCCATCACTGAACAGCAGGTCCTCGTGACTATTGGGCTTTCCTGTTCATCACACGGAAGTGTGTAATAAAAATATATTGTTTAAATATTTTAACAATTTGAAAGGATTGACCGCCAGAGTTGTTGGACAATGTTCTGCGTTAAAAACATTGCTATCATCTCAGTGAAGATGTCGTTCGTTCTACTTTTTCCTTTTTGAAGAACTTTCTCCCACTTGAGGATAAATCGGCTTCATAGAGAAATACATGAGATCTTGGGAATATAGTACCAAGTGGCATCCCCATTACCACTTGGTCTGTTTGTTCGAGTATGTGATTCTACCCCTTGCTCAACCAGTTCATATGTGCGGGGCAATTGATATATGCGGATGGCTCTATTCGGTGTCGCGCCACATTTGCGCACATCAATACACTTTCTGTGGCAATTGTTTCCTTTTTGCTGCAGATCCGTTGATGACCAGACGGAAACCCGCTACATCCGGGGATGTTGCTGCTGATCGTCCATGCTTGCCTAGTGCACGAAGCAACGATGTCCACGCGTTTAGGGTTAACCACTGAAGCATCCCTTCCTCTACTGGCATTACGAATAGGCTACCGGGAATATGGATCTCCGCTGGTCATAGACTGTTGACGTGTTTCAATCTCCGTTTGTTTCAAACCACAGCTGATAGCAACTAACAGTGGTTATCTCGCAGATTAGGATGGTACGCAGAGAAACAGGGGACTGTTTCATCACTATTGTCCCATTTTTCACTCACATGACCTAAGTTTTCGTATCCTTTGACAGGTTATCTTTCGACATTCTTGTTTGCTATGCGTTTTAGCCAGACTTTCGTACGCATATATATGGAACTGGCTTTGTTTTTTCCCAGTATAAATGCCTACTGAGTCGATCACTTGATACGATTCTATGAATATCGGTCAGGACAAAAGCATATCGTCAATGGCGTAATCTGTCCCGCTTAACCTCTAATATATATGAGGTGACAGTTTTCTCAGTTTCTTTGCGCTTTTGAAGCGTGATTGGTGCAGCTGATGCAGCGCGTGCTGTATAAAAATCTGGGCGGCGTTTACACATGGATTAAAAACCCACTAAGGCTACTAATCTTTTCACAGTTCACTCCTGAGTAATTTTTATAGAATCATTCTTTTCATTCAAGGTTGCGTTTATATGTTTGCGTGGTCTCACGGTCCTCAGCTTAGGGTTAGAATCGCCAGGTTGTTCTTTTTATGATCAGAGAATCGCCCTGTACTCACTTCTCACTTCTCCATTTATTGTCAGTATATTTGAGTTTATCCTGTTGGAAGAATTTTCTGTTTTGTATGTTTGCCATGCTCGATGCAATGTCTCATCCATTGTATCTGTGTGATTCACTCTGCATTCACGAATGTACAGTGCGTCAGCGTTGCTTCTCCGGTGACGTGGAGCGTACTCGACCTCTTCGTTACAGCATTGGTTCTCCGGATCAGTATGACAGCCTCCTGGACGCGATCGATCACGACTTACATGGTTCACTTTTCCCGGATGATCTAAACGAGATTCACATGCATCGGTATATCTCATATCCGCAAAATGTGACTCTTGGAAACCTTTACTATTTTATTCTGGCTCCAACTTTGTGCTACGAGTTGAACTTCCCCCGAACCAGTTTCATCCGCAAACCGTTCGTGTTACGACGTCTGTTTGAAGTGGTGAGTTATCTTAATGACCAGCTCCATTTTTTGGCTTTATTTCATTTATTTGTTTCTTTTAAATCACCGAACTTATTAGCCGCACCATTTTGTACCGGTAGAAGTTGAAGTATCCCGTTCGTGGATGATGAATGTGATTTGCTGTCCCCACGTAACTACCCTCCGCAATCGACCACGCAACCTGGTACCTTCAATGATAATGAGGGACGTTGGGACTTCTACACAGAAGTCTTACTGAATCTACTCAGATCAATCTACTAGTAAATCTTGTCTCGTCGTTTTTTGAGGTCATTCAGTGACTGCATTTTATATTTTGCTGAGATCTAAGCTGCGTATAGGGAACACCAAAAAATGCGGAACACTAAATGGCTTCTAGCCATTTTTAAGTTTCGAACTTCGTCATTATTCTACTCGAATACAACCTTCGTCTATCTGTGCAATACAGTTTACTGCAATAAGCAGCTTTCAAGTGTACGAACATGTGCATCGAAATATTTTTGTGCAAGCTAAATAAATTTTAATGGCGTTCACATGTCCGTAAACCACGGCGGGCCCGAATCAGTGCAAGGTTTCAGCGCATGCTTTTGCCACATCGTGCCCCCTGTAAACTGAATTACTAGGCTAGGTATTTTTCTTCGTGTATCGCTCGTAATTTACTATCTCTTCTGGAGCGTGCAGGTTCTTTCTAATTGCGTACTGAACTGATGGCATAGTGAACAGGTACGCGGATGGGTAAACTGTAAGCGCGGCTTGATTGAATTTCTCTTATTCCCACACAGTATCAGTCGAGCACGAAATTTCACTCACAGACGATATGCACACCCTCAAGAGGATATGTACTCATGTGAGGTACAACGATTGATGATACTGGTAGTGTTGAAGTCGGCGTCGTCGGTGGCAAGTACACGTAGTTGAGTGCATTACAATAAAGTCACTGACTAACGGAGTGGTCAACTGCCATGGATGCAGTCTACAACTACGAATATTTGAACGTCTTTCAGTTTTCTATGACCACTATATCAAATGACATGTAGTTGAATGTTTTTTTAAGGCTGAAGTATGTTTCGTTTTGCGTTGATGCGTTAAGTGTTATTTGTGACTTGCCTAATAGTACATGTTGTCACTGTTAATCGTTACGCTCCAGATTAAGGTATGCGATTTGTGACGATTTGTGGCAAGGCCCATCTTACTCACGTGAATGCACTTCCCTTCATTCATGACTCTTACGAGATCAGTAATGGGTGGCACCTACGGCTGATATCGAAACTCCACTGTCTAGATCGCATGGCTGTTCTGGAATTGGAAACTGAAGGTTCATATTTCCATCCTGTTGGGCGTCTGTGTTTTTGCCACTGGTTTGTTCTAGCTTGGGAATTCTTGCACGTGATCACATTTACTTCGGTTGCAGTTAGCAGCATCAGCTACCGTCACATGTCAGTGTGAACGTTAACATCCGCCACGTGGTCGCTCTTGTTCAAACAACATTCTTATAATGGCTTTACGGCGATATGAGTATCATATTACACCAGATATATCATGAGAATTCTGAATGATACCTTTTCATATTGAAAAAGCCTGTGAACGTCCCTTGCAGTTTTGCTATGACAACACATGCTACTCGCAATTCTTAAGTGACAATGTCCTCTTAGTTCTGTTTTCACGATGAGTTAGCTTTTTAGAGCATTAGTTAGGGTTTTTAGATTTATTGCTAGAATGTTGTGCAAGAATGCTCTGAACGCATTGATATTTTTGTATCCATAATTGTTGTTCTTGATTGAAAACCATCAGAGTCACGTATCTCTTGTGAACCACAACATCGTCCTTCAGAAACATCAAAATTCGAATGCTTGCTCTATTACGACACAGCTAACACAGTTGATCTTCGAATTCTCAGCCGAATCTTGGTTATCATACTCTTCTCTGTATGACACATTAATTGCGCTTTTTCAACAGATAGATAACTACAGGACTCTCCGCAAGTAAGACCCATTTCTAGTCACGTACAATAATCACCTGATGTGTACATGTACTTCCCTATTATATCAGCTCTAGTATTTAGTTGGATGTGAATGTTTCATCGAACGGATTTTACCGTTCTGGGCTCCTTTCGAACTGCTCCCGATAATCGGCCTTCACTTAGTCATCATCATCGCAATCAACGTACAGTGAGATACAATGAACCAAACTTTGCTGGTTGCTATCACTTGCACCCATTTGATCACTGCGTTCGGAAGCCTCAGTATGGTTGGGGATGGCTGTCTCTTCCTTCGGCTGGTCACCCCTCCCTTGTACCTCGCCAAATGCTCCCACATGACCTAGCGTCTCGAATAGCTTCTTCTAAAGCAGCCCTACTCACTGCCTTCTCTTGGCGAGGGTGTTTTCCCTGCAAAGTGAGGGAACAGAAAACGAACATCCGGGGTTATAACCGGGTCGGTGATCCACTGTAATTCACCTAACGCAGTTGGATATAGACCCTAATTCTAAACCACCCAAGAAGAAGTGTGATAACCACTCCCACTCCAACCTTCCTGGTTGTGGTAGTGGTCACTGGCTCTATTGGGCATCGAGGTCTATTGAACACCTTTGTCGTTTGACCCGGTCCAAATGGCGTATTGCCAACAGCATACAGTTGTGCCACAGCGAAAGATCGATAGAACAAAATTAACTGCAGATGTATAGTACTTGGGTGGACGGAACGACAGTGTGCGACAACGCCAGATGTTCATTTTTGTAGAGTTAACGACTGTGCTTCCTGTGGTCTAGCGTTGTCATTGTGCAAACTGCATGGCGTAACTAATAAGGTAATTTGTATTAGTTTTGATCACGTGAGATGGAGCCGTAATGCAAGCGAACCTGCCCTTGGCTGGTCATGCAGGACTATAACTGGCGAGCGTTTGTGCGATACACAACCTGTCCATCACAGTAAGTTACCGGAATGAACACGTGTATCTCGGAGTATATTGGGCCTCACATTTAGGACGGTATCCAAAACAAGCGCATTGCTGGTGAACGTTCGCTCAGGCAGGTGCATATACAGATTACCTGGACACCGAACCCCAATATACTGCGGTGTTCACACCGCCCTGCTGCCTTACGCGTCAGGCTTTGGCCAACCGTGGCCCAGGCTGTGAATTCCCTAAAAAAATTCGCCTGCTTTGATCTGGGCAACCCGGCGGTATCACGCCTTGGAGTAAATCATTGACTTATTTTCTCTCTTTGCAGATTATTGTGCCATGATTTGTTTGGCATACAGTTTGGCCTCAGGCGTGTGCGAAGAATATAAATATAACTACATACCACATCGTGGCGGTACAGTTTCCACTGGTAGGAAGATGATAAGACACCGCTTTCCAATGCTTCAACCCGCGGAATGAGACATGAACCTCTAGGTTATAAGGGGGTTGAAAAACTCTTATTGAACACCACCTATGATGAGGTGTGTTAACTGCCTCTAGGACTCGCGGTCGCCAGCTTGATTAGGCTCTGTGATGTATTGGGTAATGTGGATGTGGTAGCCCTGTTCGAAAGCCATACAGCTCGACCGAGGGGGACTCGAAACTAGATCTTGGTGAGACCCCGTAAGTCCACTTTCTGCTTCCGTTTGGGTGATGTAGTAGTTCTTATATTTGTTCAGTGTTGGTACCTGATCTGTTCCAAATCGGTGAATGAAATAATGAATAGTCCGATGGTAACTCAGTGCGATCTGTTTTCGCGGTAAACCTAGCTGCAAAACGCTGGGAGAGAATGGGAACTGATAGTGAACGGGAAAATTGCAATAAAACGAACTTATAAAATCTTTGAGCGATAATTGTGGTTAAGGCTGGGATCGTAAATAACAAAAAAACTCGGAGAAACCTCGACTCAAAATGATTCTAATCGGCGAACGCATGGTGTGTATAAAATATTGCTTGAATTCCATGCGGTCAGGAAGGCTTTTGATCTTTTTTTCACGAAAGAGGGCGAACAAGAAGCCTAGATTTGTTTAAACAATGAGATAGTTTGAGTATGAAAATCAGGTTACGAAATGGACGAAATTAGGCATTAAGCAGGAATCCACGAAAATAGATCTCGTTGGGCATCTTCAAAATACGTTTTAGTGGTGTAAACCACTTCTAGGGTGTCCGAATAGTTCTCAGTATATATATATATATATATATATATAAAGTATTAGTATTAGCAGAAGTTTTCATTTGATGTAAGGTACTTCTACCAGTTACATAAAGCATCCGACCTGATCGACGACGAAGACAGAACAAGTCAAGAGCTTGAGACAAGACATCGACAGAACTTCAGTTCAGTTGTTACAACCTTTAACCGT